TGAACCGTGCCAGGCCGGAGCCGGGCTCCACCGCCCTTGTCATCGGTGCCGGCACCGTGGGCCTTTTGACTGCCGCAATGGCTCGTCAATCAGGCTGCACATCAGTTACAATCACCGATATCGATGCTGGGCGTGTCAACTATGCCGTAAGCCGTGGATTCGCAACTCATGGCTTTGTTACTCCTCTGTCCCGTTTGAACTCTTCAAACTATTCTTCTGGAATCTCTACCCCTGAGACTGGAATCATTACTCCTGCCAGCACCTTTTCAACCGCAAGCCGCTTCGATGGAGCCAAGTCATTGGCGGCGGATATCCTTGCTTCATCAAACCCTGCTGGTAGCTTCATGCTCGAGGAGGATGAAGATGGTATGGATGTCACCTTCGAGTGTACTGGAAAGGAGGTATGCATGCACACGAGCTTATATGCCACCAAAGCCGGTGGCAAAGTAATCATGGTGGGCATGGGAACTCCGATTCAGACTCTCCCTCTCTCCGTGGCTCATCTCCGCGAGATTGACATCCTGGGCGTATTCCGGTATTCAAACACATATCCCACCGGCATTCGACTTTTGTGTTCGCAAGCTGCGAACCCCTCTGGCTGCAGCCTACCCTCGTTGGACGACATGGTCACCCACCGTTTCAAGGGCCTGGGTCAGGCACAGCGTGCATTCGAGCTAGCAACACGCACCAGTGACGACGAGGGCAAACTTGTCCTGAAGATTGTTATTGAGGCATAGGATCTTCATCAAGATTGCCTTTTTACGACTTATGAATGATAGACAAAAAAGATATCCGAAAAGCTACGTATTCCAGTGGCGTATTTCATAGGGTTTGTGTAAATAGATTCTCAGTTATAAAGCTACCAGCTACTGTACTGGTAGTTTGGAGGTAAGGTTGGGGTTGATTGGAGAGATACCAAGTATGATATGAAGTGACTTGCTTAATGGGCTGGAAGAATTGGTTTGCAAGGAGTTCGTCCTAGCAGATATAGTCCACGATATTAACATGAACACTTGATCCCTATCTTGACTTAACACATGAAGCCGGGATATCCCCACAAACAACTAGACTCGTGAACATGATATGCCTAACTAGTCTATGTTTTAATTCTTGTCTAAAACACGATTTGAAGTTGTAGTCTACCTCAAACACCAAACGCCCGGCTGAATGTAACTAAGTCGTTTTCTGTCGTACGCGCCATCGTGCCTTCACGCGTATATCTAGTAATTTCAGATCAGGAGATCGCCGGCTCCACGAATGTTGTAAGCCGCTGGGTCAATGACAAAATCCTGTCCGGGGCCAGGAGGAGCACCACGACGGTGCAACGCCTTTGCGTTTTCGACAACATAGAACTTCTTACCAACGTCACGGGCCTGGCCGACGCTCTGGACAATGCCGTTGAGGAGTCTCACCAGGTTAACATCGTTTGCCTCATGGAGCATCTCGCGCTCAAATGCGGGCCTGTCCGAGGGAATGACGAGGTCCAAACGGCTGACGAGGGCTTGGATCTGGCGAAGCACTATCGCTGATGGAGTGGTATAGTCGGCGTCCATACTACTGGAATCCGCTGTGTTCCCGTTGATGTACGAGGGAGGAAGACGCTCTAGGTAGGTGGTGAGAAGGAGTATTCGGGATTGGAGCATCTTGATAGCGTTGGCCTTTGCTGTGAGGGCAGCAATTGTCTCGTCCTCTTCCGGCGTCAGAGCAACCTCATCATCCTGCGCAATCGCCTTGTTGTGATCTTCGTCGTGGCTCTCTACCAGTCGGCGCTTGCCCTTGCCATTCGACTCGATGGACAAAGAGGGCTTGTCTTCCTTTTGTGGAGCGGCAGCAGCGTTTCCTCCTGAAGCAGCAACGTAGTTCATGCTGATCATCTCTGTTTCGTCGGTCTCCACCGAGTAGGGAAGCTCTCTAAACTTGAGCTTGAGAGCGGGCTCCCCATCATCCATCTTCTTGTCCTCTCCATCGTTATCCGCCTTTGGGTCGTCGACTTCATAATTGCTCTCGTAAATGGTGAGTGGAAGTCTGCCACCGACGGAGTGATCAAGGACCTGTTCCGGGTGGAATCCGAGGAGTACGGCTGACTCGTTCCAACCTCCGAGAATCTGATTGTGGATTGGTAGGATAGTCGGGGTCGGACCTGAAGAAGGCAGAAGGGTGTACCATCCAACGAGGTCGAGGTGTCTATCTTTGTGGACAGTGATCACTAGTACATATTTAGAGGGAGATAATGATAGCATAGACGAGTTTACTGACTCTGTTCTAACCGTGCGCCAAATTTCGTGGCATCGAGGAGGTATCCACCTTGCACATTGGGCTCTTGTCGAGTGTGAGCTTCAAAGGCATGCTCGATTGTGATTTCGCGACCATTTTGTTGACCTAGTAAGACGCCAATGATGGGCCCTTCCTGTTGGCGAAGAGTATGCCGAGTGATGTAATCGGAGATGGTGAGGAGGACCAGTGGGTGAAGAACAGCCTGAAGCTCGGAACTCTTCTGGTTAGAGAGAAGAGGGTTGGCGGGGGTCGAGGCAGCCATGGTGAGCTGAGGCGAAGACACTGCGGAGCGTTTAATGTGAAGTGTGTCGTGGAAATTATGTGGTGAAGTTAGGAAGGGGGTTGAGGTTAGTGTGTTTGGTACTTGAATGAAGCTATCGTTAGCTTTGGTCAAGGCGGCGTTGGCGTGAAAGATGATGGAGATGAGTTGCTGGTAGACGGATCATGGGAATAAAGATGCCCCGCACCCATGCTAGGCTGCTACCTAGAGCTCCAGGGCTACCTGAGCTAGGTAAGAGTGTGGGGTCTGTTCCGTCAGTGATGGTTAACTGTATTAGGTCAGCATTCAATTTCCGTTCTAACCCTGAATTTTGTCGGGGTTTTTAGAGTGACATGTCATGATCATTCATGCACTGAATCAAGTTGAGCACATATATGTGTTTTGTGCTTTGTGTGTAGGTATGAGCTGGTACAATCCTATTATCAGTCTAACTTAGTGAAAGGAAAGGCTATGTTCTTCTAAGCTAGCTATAGAAAGAGAGGACTATTTATAATAGTCCTCAGTCATTCACCTATCAAGATTGCCTATAGCTGCCCAACCAGGCTTCCTGCATATAGGCATCTAAGGCAAACAGCAAATACATACAAACAAGGGCATCAGTTATCCAGCAGTCTATTTATGGTATATCTATTGTCTGTCCCTCGTCGACATTGACGTGACCTCGCTTAGTTGAGCAGATCCATGCCTGTGCCCGTGCTGCCTGTGGCTATGTATTTTTCTGGTGCTTTGATCATCATCCATGAGTCGAGGTCCAATCCATTTGATACACCAGCTGCTTTGTTCAAAACACCGGCCATGGTTGCAGGTTACTCGGCACAGCATTCACCAGCGGTAAAATAGGTACCTAGGCTTTGCTACTGTGTTGGTTCTTTGTACGAGAAGTCAACAAAAGTCGAATCTAATAAGTCTTGTCACCAAGTACAAGCCTTTGTTAACTCAAAAAGAAGCTTTCAAGCTTGGCCATCTCCACCAATTTTTCAAGCCGCTCAAGGTAAGATATGCAAAGCGAATGCAAATGCAAATGCAAATGCAAATACATCCAATGCAGGCATCTCATTTTGGCTCAGACGGGCGATACCACCGGGCACGTCTGCTTCCCTCTTATTATTATTATTGTGGCTTCATTTTCTTTCTTTTCTCATACACCCGAGTCTCACATTTCCCACATTCCGCCTTTCTTCTTCTTTCTCTTCTTCTCTCTCATCTTTCCCCGCCATTGATTTGATTCTCCAGATCCATCAGCCTTTATCCTCTTTATCTCCATCAAGATCGTCGTCCCATTGTCTCTTTTCTCCCCCTTCACCTATTTCAGCCCCTCCTCTTCCTTCTCGGTTGTCTCTGTTTCTCACTGGCTGGACCATAACTGGATCTTTCCGGCAAATATCAAGCACTCATCTGATCTGAAATAGTCGCACATCGCATCTCTTATCTGCCTCGAATCTCATACTCAATCTCAATCTCTAATTCTCCGATATTCATCGCCCAACCCGATCTTCGTCGCCGCCTCCAGGTTTGACCAACCTTTGAATTTACCTAGTCTCCCGCCTCGGGTGTCCACTCCATATTATCTCACCACTCTCATTTTCGGACACACTCAAACCATGATCGCCGCCTGTGGTCAAAGTACGGACAAAGTGGTCGGCGTGTCGACGGCTTCACATCATTTGAACATCCCAACGCCTGATTTCTACCTGCAGCAACCCGCGACACGCACAGTCATGCCGTCTCGTAGCGGGAAACGTCCTCATCGCAATAGCATCGACAGCGACTCGCCTGCGCCGAGTAAGAAGTACAAGCAAGCCACCTCTTTCACTTCCGATACTTCTTCAACTTCCACGACGTCGGCTGCTAGCTCTGTCGACTTGGATTATCTTTCAATACAAACACCACTCAGCATTGACACTCTCATGCCGGCCTTCAGGAACGTACAATACGACCGTCCCACCTACCGATCAGTATCACCACAGCCACCATCACCCAGATCGCATTGAAGCTCACCTCATGAAAGGTGTTACGAAAGACACGGCCTCACATTTTGCTTTGATAACATTGGATACCACTTTGCATCCCTCGGCATAAAGCTGAGGGCACTCTTTTCGGCATCAAGACCAAGAATGATTCCCTTTTGTCATTTTACGCGGAACACGAAAAACGCCGAGCCGGGACCTCGGTTACCAATCCTTGACTTGTCTATTTTTTTGGTGTTTTACACATAGAGCGGAGGATATAAAGAGTCACGGTAGACTCTGGTGCATGTTACATCGGTAGTTAGACGATTGGAATAATAATGGCTCGGGGACATGTTGGGCTCAGAAGTCCATCGTTGATGGCAGATGTTGATAAGCAGGTAGTTCATAAATACGCAGTAGTCCTTCCATTGTTTGTACAGACAAACGCCAGATCCGTCTCGTAATCGTCATAAATCATTTCAGCGCATCTTTGTCGTTCAATTCATCTCCCACCACATGACATCCTCTTCCTGACAGTGCATGCCGATCTCGAAATTCCGCTCCATTGTGGTCATGGAATTTTCCATGACCAGAAGCTCCACACGCGCCATGGCTGCTCCATCTCCTGTCTGTTTGGCCGCCATGTACTCGGCCATGAGCTCGGCGTGCCGGCTCTCGTAGTCCTGACGGACACGGCGCCTCCGGGCTGCCGGATCGCACGCTGCGCACGTGTCGTTGAGATGTTGAATTTTGGCATTGGGAGTGCATGGACGAGAGTTTGTGGCCATGCCACATGTTGTGGCATAGTTTGTGAACGTGTGGCCGCAAGCCATTGTGGTCTTGATACTTGTGCACATGTCGATTGCAATTGAGTTTAGGAAATGTTTGAGGAGAGGAGGAAACCGCTGATAATTCGGCGCAATCGCGTATAAGCTGTAAGCCAAAGATGGCGGTCAAGAAGTATTACAGATGAATGTGATTTTTGAGCGTCGTGGACTTGGAGAAGAGAAACCCCTCACGTTGAAGACATTTATTTATTTACAAATCCGTTCACGATAGAAATATCAACTAACTTCCAAGGATTCTTCAGGCTATGCCTTCTTTTTGATCCTTTCTGCGATCATAGAGATGGGTCCCCTGTCCAAGTCGCCTCTGGTGGATGTCGCATGATGATCATGACACAAAGGCTTCACCGCCATCCTACGCCTCCCAAGTGCGACTAAGAAACCCAACATAGAACAGGCCGCCTGGTGTTGAGAGCGGCCGGTGCACGGTGTGATACTGGAATAGCTAATCGGATGGCATCCGAGTCAAAGCCAGTTTCCTGTTTGAGGTATTGGGTCATGAATGTACGCTCGTAATCGCTATTATTCTGTTCTAATCTACATATGTATTATACTATTTGACTTACTTTTGCATGAGCGGTCTTGTTTTATGAGGTGAGTTTCCTTTGCTACTAGCCCCGTCAAAATTACAAACCCAAATGTCTGATATATCGTCCATCATGACTCGTCCGGCTTTGACTCCTGTCGAACCTGAGGGTTGCCGGCCTCTGGTGATGACTCGGCCCTGGGCTTGATGCTCTTCCATTCCACACCAAGAGCACAAATCAACTGGGCTAGAGTCAATGCCAGGCTCACAAAGAATATCCGCGTAATGGCAACATTGTAGGCGTCCTTCACCAGGGGCATGTACTCGGCCGGAACTATCTTGTTTAGTTCTGTAGCACCTGCATCGACAATTTTCTTGGGCGTGAGGTTGGGTATATCTGATAAATGTTTCGCGAGGAGCCCGTTGAGCACAGTCTGCCCAACGGAGACAAATATGGCACCACCTAGTTGTTGCGCGAAGAAGGTGATGGAGATTCCGATGGGGATATCCTCCTTTGGAAGTGTTGCTTGAACAGCAAGGCCGGAAGTCTGCATCCCAAGGCCCAAACCAAAGCCAACAAGGAACTGATAGGCAATCCAGTGCGATGAACCCGTGTCTGGCTTGAGTGTGGTCAAGAGCCCCTCTCCAATGGCCATGATACAGGGACATATCAGCATAGATGGGGCATAGTAGCCAATGCGCTGGGTGAAGGCAGCAGAGATAATACTAGCTATGACAAGGCTTAGCACCAACGGGATCGTATAAATGCCCGAGTCGACGGGTTTGGCGCCCTTGGTAGCCTGGACTAATATTTTGTAAGCGCATGTTATAAACAAAATGAAGAGAGAAGACAGGGGCTACTTACACCACAAGGGGAGATAGTAAACGACAATCATCATACCACCACCAACAAACAGCATGGTCCATGCACAGGCCAGCATAGTCCTCTGAGTGATGACCTTGGCGGGAACAGTTGCGGTCTCGGGCATCTTGATCTGTATGAGAGCAAAAATGAAGGCTGTAACAGCGAAGAGAACGAAAAGGAGAATTATTCGCCAGCTGCCCCAGGGGTAAGTCGAGCCACCCCATTGAAGGGCAAGAATGAGGCAGATCATGGATGGCACAAAGAAGAATGTTCCGAGCGGGTCTAACCGGGTAATATGCTTCAGAACAGGAACAGGCTCGTGCTTCTTGGGCGATATGTGGAGGAAGAAGAAGAGGAAGACCGAGGCGACGAATCCTACAGGGAGGTTCATATAGAAACACCATCTCCAAGTGGCATGCTGAGTGAAGGCGCCTCCAAGAAGGGGTCCAACAACGGACGAGATGCCAAAAACCGTGCCAAACATAGCTATAATTCTGTTAGCCGTTGCTCGTTTAGTCATGGAGGGGAGAGTTGTAAACTTACATTGAAACATTGGCCGCTTATGAAGAGGAATCATAGGAACAATAGACATCATCGACCCTGTCATGATGCCTGCTGAGCCAATGCCAGCAATAGCTCTTCCGACGATGAAAGCAACAGAATTGGGAGCGGCACCACAAATGGCAGAGCCAATCTCGAATAACAAGATACAGACGAGGAAGGTCGTCCTCAAAGGGTAGAATCGATAGATACGACCAAAAATGAGCTGAAAGGCAGCTGTTGTGAGCATGTATGCAGAACCATACCATCCTATGTCGCCTAGGCTCTGGAAGTCGTTCGTGATTTGAGGAATGGCAGTTGCAATGATTGTGCGGTCGAGAGCGACGAGAAACATGGCAGCAAAGACGGATAGGATTATAAGCCAAAACTTCAGAGTCTTTGGTTTGTAGTTCTCCTGAGCTTCTTTGTCGAACGCTGGGCCCCTGGGACTTGACTCATCTTCCTTGGTGTCATTTGCTGACTCTTGCTGGTTGCCTTGAGGTGATTGAAGCCTCTCATCTGGTGATGATGTTTTGTTGTTAGGCTCGAAAGGAATTTGTGGTTCGGCTGATGAAAGCGAGTTGAATGATTTGCGATCTGGAGCATGAGATTCGGTCTTTTCAGGGGGAGACATGGTTGAAGTTGAAGCTGAAGCCGTTCAGCTAGAGGTGCAGGGGCTTATAAGATGTAATATTATACAGCTTATCAGTATTGGTATATTTGAAGACGTTGGGAAACACTGAAATCTGGTGCTGCTGAGCAAGATGAGGCTTGTTGAACAGGACATTTTGCTAGATATATATCTACACTACAAGTAATCATCGGACGGACTGAAAACCGAGCCATGCAACAAGATGAAACTAGCGGCAGGACCTAGAAGAGATTTGCACACAGAAAAGACGCGTGCTCGGTCAATACTCATCCTAATAGAGACAATTACGAAAATTGACCCGAGAGAAGTGGTTTGACGTAGAATAAGGGTCCCGAAGGTGAAGGGATCAGTTATAGGTCGGATCCGGAGACCACAAAGCTACCTATACTCGATTGGGAAATCAAAGTCGCGAAGGTGCCAAGAGTGTCCCCTCCCTCGGGACCGACGGACATAAACTCATCATGAGCAACACTCCAACTTGACAACTCTCGGCCATTTTCTTGTCTACTACCCGAGGAGAGTCTCCCTAAGGTACTTCGTCTCTTCTTCATTTCGCCCTTGGACTACACGTCTTGACCCGTCCCTGATTGTATCCGATCCGCTCAACCTCATCTTCAACACCCATTAGCACGCAATTATCGAGGCGACCAATCAGTTCAATCCTACTTACGATATCAGACAGTTCGGTCATAAAAGAGCACGGTCGCCAAGCAAAATTCAAGCTCCCGCTCCCGTAATCTCGGGCCCGAAGATCGCAAACACGCCATAATTATCCATCCAACACATCGCAACGTTCGTTTCCTCTTCTGCAGATCTGTCCTGTCACTGGCCACAAGCAGATGGATGGATGCGTTTGCAGGGCCCTGACTCTGATCCCTACTTATCCACAAGCTACTTTACTGTAGATAGGCAAGCTTCTTACTGTAGGGCTGAGAATTCCGACTGGACAGTCAGTACCTACAGCTGAAAGAGACTTGCAGCTCAGGGAACCCATGAGAGTCTCTCAAATCTGAACAAAACGCCTCTTTCTGGGGTCTACCCCCGCTCTTCATTCGCCGCCACGTCAATACCCAATAACTCGTGGCTGTTGCTGTGTCTTGTTGTCTCAGCACACATTCGCCCAGGCCCGAAACCTCCTTTGCCGTCGCCTGTACCCCTTGCCCGGTCCCGTACAGATCCGGGATAGGATACCCACTTCGTCGGGGTTAGACCATCCGGCGATTCGGTCCTCTGACACGGTCACTGACTGGTCATGCCTTACCCAAATGGCATTCCCGGTGTCCCCGGATCGGCCCCGCAGCAACAACAGCAGTCTCAAGGACAGCAACCCCAGGATCCTTCCGCCATCAAATTAACTCGCGGGACCAGTTGTGTGCTTTGTCAACAGCGTAAGGTTCGCTGTGACAAGAACAAGCCGTGTGCCAACTGTGTAAAGGCCAAGGTTGAATGTCGTGTTATTCCACCCCAGCCTCCTCGACGCCGGAAGAAGCGTCTCCAGGAGAAGGACCTGATCGATCGGCTAAAAAAGTACGAAACCCTTCTAGCGGAGCATGGTGTCAAAGTTGATGCCATCGGGCATGAATTAAGACCTGATGGCCCCCCCGGTGAAGATGTCGAAGAGCTTGAGAACGATTTCGAAGGTCTTAAGACAACCCCTGAAGCTAGTTCATCCCCTGCACCGTCTAATTCAGAACAAAGGTATGCATCCTACTGACAAAGCATGTCAACGCCCCTCGAAGCACTTCTACTCACGTTATTATAGGACTGGCGGCGGGGCGTGGTTTTCTTATCACAAGGAGGTAGGTTGAGTTCTCCTCTCGCTCACTGCAATTGTCTAATATACAACGTAGTTTCGAGCCAGTGAACACATGCTGCAAGATTCCTCTGATGATGAGCCTGAAGTAGGCTCAACTATCCATCGTGCCTTTGACCGAATGTTTGACACTGATGGGTTTCCTTTCATCGTTGGAGCTGCCCCAGTCCCCATCGCGAATCTTCATCCTTCCACAATACACATCTTCCAGCTCTGGCAAATCTATATTGACAACATTAATCCCCTGCTCAAGATAACACATGTTCCTACAGTTCAAGCACAGATCATAGAGGCGAGCTCGGATCTCGAAAATGCACCAAAGAACATCGAGGCCCTCATGTTCTCCATGTACCTCATGGCGATCACATCGCTTGAGGATGCAGACGTTTACAAACGGTTCAACGAGACCAAAAAGGAGCTCCTGGCGAGATACCACACTGGTACGCAGCATGCGCTGACGAAAGCCGGGTTTATGAGGGTCAATGATCCTATTCTCTTGCAGGCGTATATTCTTTACCTCGTAAGTTTAACCTGGGAATTCCTTTGCGCATGCTGTCGCTTAACGTTTACTTAGTTTGCTGTTCGATGGTTCGTTGACCCTCGTCAAGTATTCTGC